CTAACTGATATCTATAGGACATTTCAGCCCAAAAGAATCAACTTCACCTTTTTCTCAAGTGCACACGGAACCTTCTCTAGAATAGATCACATCCTGGGCCATAAATCTAGTCTTGGAAAATTCAAAAAAATTGAAATTATTCCAGTCATCTTTTCTGACCACAGTGCAGTAAGATTAGATCTCAATTAGAGGAAAAAAATTGTTAAAAATTCAAACATATGGAGGCTAAGCAACATGCTTCTAAATAGCCAACAAATCATAGAAGAAATCAAAAAAGAAAACAAAAATGCATAGAAATGAATGAAAATGAAAACACAACAACTCAAAACCTATGGGACACTGTAAAAGCAGTGCTAAGGGGAATGTTCATAGCATTACAGGCTTGCCTCAAGAAACAGGAAAAAAGTCAAATAAATAACCTAACTCTACACCTAAATCAATTAGAGAAGGAAAAAATGAAGAACCCCTGGGTTAGTAGAAGGAAAGAAATCTTAAAAATTAGGGCAGAAATAAATGCAAAAGAAACTAAAGAGACCATAGCAAAAATCAACAAAGCTAAAAGCTGGTTTTTTGAAAAAATAAACAAAATTGACAAACCATTAGCAAGACTCATTAAGAAACAAAGAGAGAAGAGCCAAGTTAACAAAATGAGAAATGAAAATGGAGAGGTCACAACAGAAAACACTGAAATACAAAGGATCATAAGAGACTACTACCAGCAGCTCTATGCCAATAAAATGGACAATTTAGAAGAAATGGACAAATTCTTAGAAAAGTATAACTTTCCAAAACTGAACCAGGAAGAAATAGAAGATCTTAACAGAGCCATCACAAGCAAAGAAATCGAAAATATAATCAGAAATCTTCCAGCAAACAAAAGCCCAGTGTCATACTGTTTTGATTACTATAGCTTTATAATAAGGCTTGAAATCAGGATGTAAGAGCTCTAAGTTGGTTCTTTTGTTGAGATTGTTTTGGATTGTCAAGGTCCTTTCAGATTCCAAATAAATTTTAGGGTGGATTTTTCTGTTTTAGCACTAAACGTGATTGGGATTCTATAGATTATTTTGGGTAGTTTTGAGATCTTCATTATAATAGTAAGTCTTCCAATTTATGAACACAGTTATTTTTCCATTTATTTGCCTCTACTTTAACTTTTTTCAGGCACATTTTTTGGTTTTCAGTATACAAGTCTTTAGCTTCTTTAAGTTGACTTTAGGTTGTATTGTAAAGAACCTGCCTGCCAAGGGAGAAGATAGAAGAGACATGGGTTTGATCCATGGGTTGGGCAGATCCCCTGGAGTAGGAAATGGCCACCTACTCCAGTATTCTTGCCTGGAAAATTCCGTGGACAGGAGCCTGGCAGGCTACAGTTCATGGGGCCATGAAGAGTCAAACATGACTAAGTGACTGAGCATGATAATAGAAGCATTTTATTCTTTCTATAGTATTGTAAATAATTTTCTTTTCAGATTGCTTAATGTAGCTTCACAGAAACATAACTCATTTTTGTTGCTGATTTCATATCCTGTGATTTTGCTGAACCCGTTTATTACTTCTAACAACTATTTTGTGGAAATCTTCTGTGGATTCTTTCTCTTATTCCACATATGAGACTATACCATCAAAGAATGGGGATAATTTTATTTCTTCCTTTCCATTTTGGATCCTATTTATCTATTTATTTGTTTCCTAATTACTCTGGCTAGAATTCCCACATCCATGTGGCAAAACGGGGCATTCTTTCTTGTTCCTCTATGTATTATAATCTTTGACTGGATGATAGACAAGATTCTATTTCTCCATTTTATGCTATTATTGTTACAAACTTTACTTTCACATGTTTTAAATGCTGCGATAGTAAAATTGTTATTTTCAACAGTCAACAATCTCTTAGACACTTAAGTAATATTAATAAATCATCTCATATATTTAAACATGTAGTTATTATGTCTGGTAGTCTTCTGGCATCATCTTTCTTCTCCTTGAAGAACATCCATTAATAATTTCATGTAATGAGCATCTATTTATGATGTATTGGTTTAGAATTTATATGTTTTAAAAAGTCCTTTGTAGTTTTCATTTTTTTGAAAAAAATTTTGGTGAGTATGGAAGCAGGTAATTTTTTTCTTTTAAGTGATTTAAAGATACTATTCTTTTGCTTTTATTGTTTTCAGTGACTTTTTAGTCTTGGTTGATTTTTAAATTTTCTCTTTATGATTGGATTTGATATTTATAATTTGGTTACAATGTGCCTTGGCAGTTATAGTCTTTATTTTTTGTTGAGTTTCGTAGACTGGTTTTATACATTCAAACAAATTTATTTCTCTTAATTTTCAGTTTTTATTTGATAATTCTAATATATTTTCAATTCTGTATTTGGTTTTATTCATTGCTCTTTCTGCAAATACTGGTCATGTTTTACTAATTTTGGCATGCATAAAATATTTTTTTGCATATCACATGTCTAAAATGTTTTTACTGTTTTGAAGGTTAAGTAAAAATGTATATATTAAATTAAATGTAAAAGTTTTTTTCTAGTTTTCAAGTCTTGATCATGAAGATACATTAGACAGTACAAGAGTGTACTAACCATTGGATAAGACTCTTCCATGTACGCTACACAAAGCTCTACTTTTTAGACACAACCATAATTTCTATCCATATGTAAGCACCAAGCAATATGCCTAAGTCTTTTTTGGCCCTGTTTTTTGTTTGTTTGTTTTTCCTGTTTTTATAATCTTTAAAATAGTGATAAGAAGACATATGTATATATATATATATATAGTAAAATAACTGTAAAATTACATAAAATAGTAATTTTTAAAGGCCTGGCAAGTAATTAGAGATAAATAAATGCTAGTTCTCTTTCCTCCCTACCACTAAGCTATCAAGTCAACAAAAAAGTGTATTATAAACTGTTCTGGATCATAAAGAAGCTTTAAGTTTCGTCTTCTAATCTGTCCCAAGGGGAAAAACATGGTTTCGCCCTCTTCTGGCGGAGTGGGGGTTAGCATCACCTGGTAGACATCTTTTACATAGAAATGAAAGTATTGAAGAGTGAGATCACCAAGAGGAGGGCTTAGGCAGTTCTCTCAGAAGAAGAGCTAACATCTATTTAGGAACAAGACAGCAGTGAGAGAATCCTAAAACACAGACATGAGGCTGAAGCCCATCCTACACGTCAGAGACTAAGACACATCTAAACAGTGAATTCAGTGAAGCCGAGGGTCTCAAAATTAACATACAAAAATCAGTAGCATCTCTATTCACTAACAACAAAATTAAAAATAAATAAATAAAGGAATCAATCCCATTTATAATAGAATAAAAAATTAAAATGCATAGAAGTAAATTTAGCCCAAGTGGTGAAAGATCTCTACTCTGAAAATTATAACACACTGATGAACAAAATAAAAGAACAAATAAATAAATGGAGAGATAGCCTGTGTTCTTGGAGTGGAAGAAATGATGCTGTCAAAATGTTGATTCCTAAAAAAGCCACCTATAAATTCAATGCAAATCCTATCAAGATTCCAATGGTATTTTTTTTTAACAGAAATGGGAAAAGAACATCCCTACAATTTGTATGGAACCCTGAAAGATGCACAAAAAAAAAAAAAAAAAAACATTTCTACAATTTGTATGGAAAAAGATGCAGAATAGCCAAAAAAGACCTGAGAAAGAGTTACAAAGTAGAAGGTATCACACTTCCTGATTTCAAGCTATACTATAAATCTATAGCCATCAAAAGTTTATGATACTGACATAAAAACAGAAAAATAGGCCAGTGGAACAGAATAGGGAATCCAGAAATAAGCCCAAGCACAATCACTCGACTAAGATCTGACAAGGGAGCCAAGAACACTCAATGCAGAAAAGACAATGTCTGCAATAAATAGAATTGGGATCATTGAATAAATATAAGTGAAAGGATGAAACTGGACCCATATCTTACACACTTCTAAAGATTGACTCAAAAGGAATCAAAGACTTAAACCTAATACTTGAACATGAAACTCCTTGAAGGAAACTCTAAAAACACAGGCAGCAAGCACATAGACGTGAGATCCGTCAGCACTGCTGTGAATCCACACAGAAAGCGCAGGAACAACTCAGAATAAACAAGCGAGAGGGCACGAGACTGAACACAGAAGCCACCAGCAAAGTGAGAGGACAGTGTGCAAAATCGGAAAAACATATGCAACCCATGCATCTGACAGGCGATTAATATCCAAAATACACAAACAACTCATCCAATCCAGAGCAGAAGGAAGCAGGTCAGAAACTACAAACTTCCAGCTACAAGATAAGTACTAGGGATGTAATGTACAAGATAACTATAGGTAAGACCGCTATACAATATATTAAAAAATTGTGAAGACAGTAAATCCTAACAGTTCTCATCACAAGAAAAGTGTTTTCCCTTTTTGTCTTTCTTTTCTTTGTTATTGTGTTTAGGTGGGAGGATGAATGTTAGCTGATACTGTTGTGATTATCATTTTACAATATGTGTGGATCAAACTATAAAGCTGTATGCTTAAATTTAGGCAGTGATGTATGACAAATGTTTCTCAATAAAACTGGAAAACAGTGAAAGCATTTGGGTTAAATTTAATACAATGTTTTAGAAAAAATGATTATGTTTAGGTAATTTAAACCACATTAAATAATTGCCTATTGGCAAAAAATTATCTGCGCAAATGATTTATTTGTAGTGTTTTGCAATAGCCTTTAGCAGTTTCAATTACTTAATCTATGTTGGCAGATGCTCATTTATTTGCTCATTAATTCAGGTTCTAGTTGGTCAGTGTATTACGTGCTCAGATATTCATCATTCTCTAGTTGGCCGAAGGACGACCTCCCATCTGCTATATAAGTTGCTTTTGTTTGAGACTTACCCTTAAGAACAACAGGCAGTGAGAGGATGTGGTCTTCTTTGGTGATCCCCACTTTTCTCCTCCTGAGCTTTTTTCCTGTGGGCTTGGCCCCAGATCCAGGGTCAACCACCCATGGAAATGACATCTACCCCCCTTTCTGGGACCAAACTGATGGAGACATAGCAGAATTTCCAGTGCAGAATAACAAGATAATCATTGATCCCTGGAAATATATGGATCGACTAAGATTATATAAGATCCTTATAACAGAATCAAACAAATATTTTGCTTCATTTGGAAAAAACAATACAGGCAATGTGTTTTGGCTACTGACTTTATTTTATGGAAGGCTATTTAAAACAGGTATGTACATTTGAATTATTCTCAAGGAAAATTGCTTTTCTCTTTCTTTGATGCTAGGAATGGCATTATAGCTAATCTATTTAAGCGTTACTGTCTGAATGCTCAGGCATTCAGTCAATATAACCAATGCAGTCAATATAATCATTTATCTTTAAGTACTCAGGCTTTTATATGACCTAATGAAATACTTCTTTTGATTAGTAAAGTTATTTGCCACACCTTTGCTTTCCATTTTATAGCCTTCCTGGTTTAAAAATAAATTCCTGTAAGCTGAAAAAGCTTATTGTTTGAAAAAGAAATGTCTCCTTCTAGATTAAAAAAACTCTTGTTTTTTTCAAAGCCTGACAGGCTTCTCAGATACATGTGACACTATAAATATCTCCGTTTAATGGGGTGAGATTAATATAGGAAATAAGACAAGATTTCTTTTAGCTATGAAATCCAGGGTGAGGTATCACACAAACTAAGGTAAGGAACCTTCTTTCCCTTAAAAGCCTGGGCTTTGCCTCAAAAATTTTAGTGGAAAGTAATAAGTTATGGCCCTCACTGCACAGTCTCTTTCCTGATAGTTGTTAGGCTCAAGCAGAAAAAAGGGCTGAAAACAGGGGGGAACTGGTCCAGAATGCAGCACTCTCGTCCTGCACTTAAACAAGTAGGATGGGGAGACAAGTGTGATGCTCAAAACTCAGCATTCTCTCTGAGAAAGGGAGAAAGCTTCTCTCTTTTCTGCCTCTGTTATGGTGAATTTCTCCATCTGTATTTTGCTCTCACTACTTCTTCAATCAGTTATCTTATTACTGAGATTCTGGAACTAAATCAGCTTCCCACTCTCATGAAATTCCTTTTTAAATGGTCTTCTCTGGATGTGACTAGAAGGAGTCTAGAATGAAACAATGTCTAGAATACGGTGCCTTGAAAAAAAAAAAAAACTTCTGCCCATTTAAACTATTGCAATGAAGCCTTTTGATTTAGGAAGAAAAGAAGGACCCACAGAGACTGCCTTGTGAAACGCTCTGCAGGTCCAGCTTAGTCAAGAAGGAGTTGGTAAAGAAAATAAAAGAAACATAAAAAACCAGAAAAATACAAGAAAACGTCTGTACAGGCTGGAATTTCTGAGAAGCTTTGAGCTCTCAAAGTGAATGAAATGCTATTCATATGAATGGACCATATCATTAGCAGAAATAACCCTCTTACTCTTTGGAGCATATGAGTCTTTTCCTCTCTTATGGCTTTCTATTCAAGGTTCAACTCTTTTCACCTTCCCTGTTTACTCTGTAGATAGATTTTCAGAGCCTCCCAATAGTTCCCGGTGTGCCTATGAGTCTGGAGTCTCCAGCTGCATATCTATCAACAGTGCCTGGGGAGGTAAGTGTTTCATTCCACCATGCTCCTTTACTGATCTGTGGCTCGGGGCCTGCTCTCTCTGCTTTTTAATGGGATAGGCTAAGTTGGGTTAACTCTTGATATTTGCTTTGTAAACATATACAATTTTCTGTGCAATTTCCCAGGAGATGATCAATTAAAGCAAAACTTGAATGATAACTCTGCTATGGCGATGTCTAAGTTAATGATGTACACTACACTGTCATTTTGTGTCAGGGATGTCGGCATGTGCTCAGTTGTGTCCAGCTCTTTGAGACCTCATGAACTGTAGCCCACCAGGCTTCTCTGTCCGAGCAAGAATACTGGAACGGATTTCCATTTCCGACTCCAGGGGATCCTCCAGACCCAGGGATTGAAACCCCGTCTCTTGCCATCTCCTGCACTGGCTGGCGGATCCTTTAGCACTGTACCGCTGGGAAGCCATTGTTCATTTTGGGTAGATACTAAAGAAGAAAACGATACTTTCAAGTACCTAGTATTTCACATTTTCTATTGCATATTCCACCCACTCCTAGTCCCTTCTACAACTAGCTACTATTTATTTCACACTTACACATTCCAGAACCTCACTTTAGCCATTAAGAGAGATTTAATTCAACCCTTGCCACGATGTTAAATCAATATTCTCATAATACAGAGAATCAAGCAGAAGCTGAGAGAGGTTGAGCAATTTGCTTTTTATCACAAAGCTAGTAATAGAAAGTCTAAACATTCATCTTTCTCTCTCAGTTCATTTCCTTAATCACTTAAGTTTTCCTCCTTAAACCCCTAATTTGAAAAAACAGCAAGAACTTAATAATGATTTATTATTTTCAATTGCAAGTCATTTCGTGCCTTAAAAACCAATTTCACTATAGGGAACACCTAACATATCTGCTCCTTCTGATTGGTTTATGCAGGAATATATCTTCATTAGGTATAAAGTTTTGGAAGAGTGAATTTATAAATGTACATTTTAAAATAAAGGTTGTACCTGGCAATGAACAAAATTCTTCTAATTCAAGGTAAAGTTTATGCTGAGACTCATCCACTCAAAGGTGAAAATTAAGGCTAAAAGTAGAAATAAGTGAAATGAGGTCAACTAGTGCCCTAGGTTTCATGTAATGAGAAAATGACTTGTCATCAAAAGGCTTGAAAATATTCCTTGAAATACCTATCTATCAGTTGTGTCTTCTCCCTTATGTTTGGTATCACCAGTATCTGGCTTCTCCTTGACATCTAGATCAACAATCAAAATAGTTTTCTTATTGTCAAGCAGGAATGTGGAAGGATGTGCTTCGTTAGCGGAAGGTATGGATTCATGCCTGTGACCAAAACCTGGCTGAGGAGTAGGCCTAAGAATAACCCTGGCCTGGGAGCTGCCAGAATCCTGGTAGACAAGATGAACTGAGGAATCAAGAAGTAGATAAATAGTCCAAAGACTAGAGTGAGGACTTGGTTGAAATGAATTAGCATCAAGAACCAGAAGAAAGTGAAACTGAAAATGAGAAAATGTATTCAAGTTTGTTTGGGAAGAACTTTGGTGGGTTTTAGAACTATCCTTAAGAGAGCTAAGATGGTCATATCAAAATCTCTTCCTCAGACTAGGCAGAGTATCTCCACAAATATCATCTACATATGTAACCAAACTGAAGTAAATATTTTCCTAAGCCAAATCTGATTATTTGCTTCCTATGTAAGGGGTAAATAAATATGGGACAGAAATTATTTGGAACTGGATTGAACTAAGTAGATTCATATACAAATTTCTGTATCCACAGTGTGCCCCCAATGGAGACTTTCCTGACTGTGATTATCCCTAAGTTGTCATAATCATATGCATTTCCTAGAGCCAACAAATTCAACATGACAGTTTGGAGAATAAATAAGATAAATGGTATAGATCAAGCGTTAGTCCCTTGGTTAACTCCTACTTTGTATACACAGTTAATGGCTTCAGATATCTCCATCCTATTTTTTTTGTGCAGGCATTAGCTACTATGTGATTATTATGTATTTCCTTGCTGCAATTGAATCTGACTTTTTGGGGAATTTGCCATATGAGGTAGAGTTACTACCTCGAGAGGAGTACAGATCTAACTTCTGTTATTCAGTTGAGGAATGCCGTGCAGCCTATCCACAAATTATGGATATAGCCAACAGGCTTTATAAGGTAAAAGAATGCAATGACATTTTTATGAATGGAATGAATGAAAACACTGAATGGAGTTCTTCTGTTGGGATTTATGATGTAAAAATAGACTAAACTTCACATTTATATGCATTTGAAATTATGTTAGAGTTTTGTCCCTTCCTGCTCTAATCATTCTGCTTAGTATCCTGAAGGGATCCTAATAGTTAATATCAAATTGGCATGATTGTATTTATAAAAACATTTTTTCAATAGAATCCATGTAATAATCACCAAATTATGTTTGCCTCTGCAAACAGAACAGCATAAAACTCTATACAAAACGAAGCGAAATGACATCTTTAAGTGTTAAAATCTATTCTGAAAATAAATTTCATTTCTAAACAATCAGCTAGATGAGTATGTTACAATGTTCTTTTTCAGGAATTCATGATACTGGTAATTAAATATATTTTAATTTATTTTAAAATCTTTCAATGACATAAATCTTATTCATTCTACAGTATCTGCAATCCAGAAAGATAGTTTCCATTACCAGAGGTATTCCTCAGTATGACACAGATGAGGACACAGCGATCTTTAAGATGTGGGTGGCCCATCAAGCTGCCATTGATGTGGCAAAACCGAAGTTCAGTGATGTGTAAGAGAATTGCTTTATGTGATGTAATTAAACTCAATTTTTTTTCTGGCATAGTAAAACATAATGTTTAAGTTTTGGTTGCCTCAAATGTTCATAGCTCATATTTTCCATAATATCAGGAAATGGTTTTTCCACTTTTACTTGCAGTTCATCTAAGAGTCACATATCAGGTATATATCTTGAATGTAGCTTTTCTTAGCTTATACTTGTCAGTTCACTCTTTCAATTATGTCTCCTTAATTTGAAAACTTTTCAGTGTAGACCAATTTATTAATTTTTTTCCTTTACTATTTAATTCTTTTTCTGGTTTAAAAAAAAAAAACCTGCCCAGTGATTTTCAATGGCTTGGTATTTTGTTGTATGTTTGTATGTGTGTGTGTAGAGTCCTATTTATTAATAGTTCATCACTAACTGTGATGTTTCTTCTCTCAGCTCCACAATGTTATCAAAGACTTTTCTCATCATGTCAACATTAGAGCAATACCTGTCAAAATCATTCATTGCCTTGAGTCTTCCCTTCTTATTAGGAACTAGGGCTGCCATCACCAAATACTATAGACTAGGTGGTTTCCATCACAGAAATTTATTGTCTCACAATTCTGGATGCTGCAAGTTCAGAGCTAGGATGCCAGCATGGTCAGCTTCAGCTGAGGGCCCTGTTTCTGGCTTGCAGATGGCTGCCTTCTTCCGTCACGGCATCTGTGTCTTCACATGGAGAAGAGAGAAAGAGAAAATCTGCACTCTAGTCCCTCTTTCTCTTTAGTATGAACTTCGACATGTAAATTTTCAGGCTATCATACCTTTTTTCTTAAAGTTTGAACTCACAATGTGTCAATATTGTTGTCCACTCTGATATCATAGAATGTGTTTTTAATATTTTATTCAGTTTTTATGGTTGTTCTCTGCAAGAGAGAATTGAGCATGCCATTTAAGTCTTTAAATTAGATGAACTCAAGAAAAACCATCTGTTGTCCATTTGTTTGTCCCCTGGCCTTGGGCCCTGTTATGTCCTACTCAAGAAGATGATTTGATTTCTGTGGCAAATTTCTAGTCCACTTCTTATTTCCTAGGAATTAGGAGCAATTATATTAGTATACGCACACAATAAACATGAGTCAATTGTGTATGTTGTTGAAGAATTTCCAGAAATTGGTACTAGATAACCTTCTATTCATTGTACTAGTTCATAGTATCTAGTCCCTGAACTGTGTTTGTGGAAACCAAGTGACATTAGACATTAGTGGCACAGAAATTAGATATAGGAGAAACACAAGGAGAAAGCACCCAGAATAAATCTAGTAGAAGTAAGAGAGGGGCTTGGTTATGATGCTACAAGTTTTTTAAATTGTGATTCAAAGTTTTGCCATCTCTGTTGCTATGTAACAGATTCTTCCTTGGTGGCCCAGATGGTAAAACATCTGCCTGTAATGCAGGAGACCCAGGTTCACCCCCTGGGTGGGGAATATCCCCTGGAGATGGAAAGGGCAACCCACTCCAGTACCCTTGCCTGGAAAATCCCATGGGCAAAGGAGCCTGGTAGACTTCAGTGCCATGGGGTAGCAAAGACTCGGACATTACTGAGTGACTTCACTTTCACTTAGATTCTTCAGCCAGGCACAATGTAGGAGATAGTGTGAGGATTAATTACAATATACTGAAACTAGGTTTGGTTCAGTCAATTATTTAATAAAAGGCATAAAATTCCTAAGGAACATGGGAGAAAAGACACATTTAGAATTTGATTTGCATTGAAAGGAAGTATTTTCTAACTCATGCAGCTAACTTTGTGTCCTTCCTTTAGATCATTCTATTCTTCTGAAACTGAACGAGACTTCACTATGGACTTTCTGGTGACTGCAGAAATTTTTGAGGCAGTATTATATCGTCCATACTTTGAAAGTTCAGCAGAACTCCTAGTGGGTTTCCCACACAGGCTACTCACAGATCAGGATCGGAATGTCCTCACGAGTAACTTCAGCAGACGGGAAAAAGCATTGATCACTGTAACAAAACTCACTACAAAAATAAATAAAAGCACAGGTATGATTATGATTTATACTATCCATGAAGCTTAAATGAACCAAAGTCATTTAAGAACTAAATGTATTTAATGACCCATTCAACAGGAATGATTGAGTGCCTGCTATATTATAGATATATTGAATATAATTGTGACAGTTACTGAAAACTACCCTTCCAGGACCTCAAATGTTATATAGCTTCTGCAAGAGTGACAGGTCTAAAATCAACACTTTGATATGTTTCTTCTTAAAATTCTTATTGCTATCCTAATAATATTCTGGATTTTTGCTTAGGATTCAAAACTGCTAGTCTGTGAACATCTGGCTCTTCATTATTGCTGTGTCAGTCTCCCCAGGGTAAAGTGTGCTCTTCCGCCAAGACAGAGAATATAATAAGAAATAGGGACGGTTTGGGTGGAAGTAGGAAAGCTGGGTGCAGAGAGACAGTTATATAAAATTTTTGAGCATCAATTAAATAATGGATATTGAGCTTTCTGTCTTCACACATCATTTTATTTGTTGTCCTTAGGTACAGTAGGAAATTCATGGCATTGTTTACATTTTTGAAGAAAAAGTTATTTGACATTAAATAACATGTCCAAAATGATATACTTTGTAAATAGCTGAAGCAAACTTAAACTCCAGCTTGTTTAAATTCAGTTTTAGGGGTTTCATTTTTCTTCACTACATAATATTACCTGCGTTGAAAATACAAAAGTTATGATGAACTAGTGAACCTTACACATTTAAATCTCAATCGTTTAGAATTAGAACTGTGGAGTCTCTTCAGTTCCTGCCCATTTTTTCATGGGTTAATCCTAAGGATCAGGGAAGATAAGTTGCAAGTATCACGTAGTTTTAGTGACAGTTGGACAGCAACCAGGTCTCCTTCCTGGCAGGAAAAGGTTCACTCTAGAAACAAAACACTGCAAACAAGAGTAAGAACGGAGTTATGACGGGTCTCAACAATTTGTGCTTAATTTATTGCATAAAATATTGTGGCTATTACACTGTGTGAGAATTTTTTTAATACATCTCATTCTCAAATAAGGGAAACAGCTCTTCATTTATTATATATGCGGCCAAAGTGAGCACAAGGAGAAATAGCTCTTCTTTTATGCTGTTAGATTGTCCAACACAATGCATTTCCCTGTATCCTATGACAATCCTATTGGTCAGACAGTGTTACTAATATATTACAAATCCTGTAATTAGAATATTGATCTTATTTTGTATATTTTTAGATTTTAAAGTTGTATTCAAAGTTTTATTAGCTGGAAATATAAATGTTTCTATTTTCACAGGAGGATTATTTTTAACAATTTGGAAGAAGCTCATGACTTCAAAATTTGCTCGGGCTATGGGACGTTTCTTCATTAATAGGCTACTCTTAATACCAATTGAGTAGTCTAACTTCCTGCTATTACGTGTTGATCACTTTAATTTCAAGAATAAAAGCAATCAAATATTATAATGACTGTGAAAAGTTTCTGGTTCTTAGTATCCCTGCTTCATCTTTGTATTTTCAAAGTTACCAGTCAGTAATCCTCCCTGCCACCCTCCCCTCAGAATTGAGATACATACCTGGTAGAAGCTAATTAGTGTCATAGAATGCCTGAGTTGCACATGATTATGTCAATATCTGTGTCAAGACATGTTACACTATTGCTAGCTAAGATTTTTATACTACTTTCAATGCTCATTCATAGACTGCCAGGTAAGCAGGGAAAATTCTCCTCTAAAAAGGTTATTCTTATAAGATACAACTTTGGGCACTGAAGAGACATTTTAAGTAATTTATATTCTAGGGCAGAACTCCAAGTGCATTGCCATATGAGTACATTTATCAGTTTATGTAATGAGTGAGTCTGGTCTTTCAGTGTCTGAGCACATGGAGAAATCATTTTGCCATCGAGGAGAAAAGTTCTGAGCTACTCCAGTTTAAGACCCAGTTCTCCCTCAGTCAGTCTCTCCCATGAGGGAGCTTCCATAAGCCTCTTCTCCTTCTCCAGCAGAGGGCAGACAGACTGAAAACCACAGTCACAGAAAACTAACCAATCTGATCACATGGAACACAGCCTTGTCTAACTCAGTGAAACTATGAGCCATGCTGTGTAGGGCCACCCAATATAGACGGATGATGGTGAAGAGTTCTGGAAAAAGTGGTCCACTGGAGAAGGGAACGGCAAACCACTTCAGTATTCTTGACCTGAGAACCCCATGAACAGTTTGAAAAGGCAGAAAGACAGGATACTAAAAGATGAACTCCTCAGGTCAGTTCATGCCCAATATGCTACTGGAGATCAGTGGAGAAATAACTCCAGAAAGAATGAAGAGACAGAGTCAAAGCAAAAACAACACCCAGTGTGGATGTGACTGGGGATGGAAGTAAAGTCCAATGCTTTAAAGAGCAATATTGCACAGGAACCTGGAATGTTGGGCCCATTAATCAAGGCAAATTGGAAATGGTCAAACAGGAGATAGCAAAAGTGAACATCGATGTTCTAGGAATCAGTGAACTAAAGTCGACTCGAATGGGTGTAATTTAATTGAGATGATCATTATATATACTATTGTGGGCAAAAATCACTTACAAGAAGTGGAGTGGCCATCATAGTCAACAAAAGAGTCTGAAATGCAGTACTTGGATGCAATCTCAAAAACGACAGAATGATCTCTGTTTGTTTCCAAGGCAAACCATTCAGTATCACAGTAACCCAAGTCTATACCGCAACAAGTAACACTGAAGTCAAGAAGTTGAATGGTTCTATGAAGACCTGCAAGACCTTCCAAGACTAACATCCAAAAAGATGTCTTTTTCATTATAGGGGACTGGAATACAATAGTAAGAAGTCAAGAAATACTTGGAGTAACACTCATATTTGGCCTGGAGTACAGAATGAATCAGGGCAAAGGCTAATAGAGTTTTGCCAAGAGAACGCACTGGTCATAGCAAATACTGTCTTTCAACAACACAAGCGAAGACTACATATGGACATCATCAGATGGTCAATAGCAAAATCAGATTGATTTTATTCTTGGCAGTCAAACATGGAGAAGGTCTATACAGTCAGCAAAAACAAGACCGGGAGCTGACTGTGGCTCAGATCACGAAACCCGTATTTCTGAATTCAGACTTAAATTGAAGAAAGTAGGGAAAACCACTAGACCATTCAGGTGTGACCTAAATCCAATCCCTTACAATTATACAGTGGAAGTTAGAAATAGATTCAAGGGATTAGATCTGATAGACAGAGTGCCTGAAGAACTAATGGACAGAGGTTCATGACATTGTATAGGAGGCAGGGACAAGACCATCCCCGAGACAAATTAATGCAAAAAGGCAAAATGGTTGTCTGAGGAGGCCTTACAAATAGCTGTGAAAAGAAAAGAAGTGAAAGGCATAGGAGAACAGGAAAGATATACCCATCTGAATGCAGAGTTCCAAAGAATAGCAAGAAGAGATAAGAAAGCCTTCTTCAGTGATCAATGCAAGACATAGAGGAAAACTATAGAATGGGAAAGACAAGAGATGAAGAAAATTAGAGCTACCAAGCGAACATTTCTTGCAAAGATGGGCACAATAAAGGACAGAAATGCTATGGACCTAACACAAGCAGAAGATATTAAGAAGAGGCGGCAAGAATACACAGAAGAATTATACAAAAATATCTTCATGATTCAAATAATCACAATGGTGTGGTCACTCAATTACAGCCAGACATCCTGGAATGTGAAGTCAAGTGGGCCTTAGGGAGCATCACTACGAAGAAAGCAAGTGGAGGGGATGGAATCCAGTTGAGCTATTTCAAACCTGAAAGATAATGCTGTGAAAGTGCTGCACTCAATATGCTGGCAAATTTGGAAAACTGAGCAGTGTGCACAGGACTGGAAAAGGTGAGTTTTCATTCCAATCCTGAAGAAAGGCAATGCCAAAGAATACACAATTCCACTCATCTCACACGCTAGTAAAGTAGTGCTCAAATTCTCCAAGCCAAGCTTAGAGTACGTGAACTCTGAACTTCCAAATGTTCAAGCTGGTTTCAGAAAAGGCAGAGGAACCAGAGGTCAAATTGCCAACATCCGTCGGATCATCAAAAAATCAAGGGAGCTTCTGAAAAACATCTACCCTGGCTTTATTGACTATGCCAAAACTTGTGCTGTGTGGAATATAACAAACTGGAAAATTCTTAAAGAGAAAGGAACAACAGACCACTTGACCTGCCTCTTGAGAAATCTGTATGCATGTGAGGAAGCAATAGTTAGAACTGGACACGGAACAATACGCTGGTTCTAAATAGTAAAAGGAGTACATCAAGTACTTCAAGGCTGTCTATCATCACCCTGCTCATTTAGCTTATATGCAGAGTACATCATGAGAAACGCTGGGCTGGAAGAAGTACAAGCTGGAATCAAGATTGCAAGTTGAAATATGAATAACCTCAGATATGCAGATGACACCACCCTTATGGCACAAAGTGAAGAAGAACTAAAGAGCCTCTTGATGAAAGTGAAAGAGGAGAGTGAAAAAGTTGGCTTAAAAATCAGCATTCAGAAAACAAAGATCATGGTATCTGGTCCCATCAACTTCATGGCAAACAATGCAAATAGTGACAGACTATTTTTGGGGGAATCCAAAATCACTGCAGATGGTGACTGATGCCATGAAATTAAAAGATGCTTGCTCCTTCGGAGAAAAATTATGACCAAACTAGACAGCATATTAAAAAGCAGAGACATTACTTTGACAACAAAGGTCCAACTAGCCAAAGCTGGACTTTGACTAGACAAAGGTTTTCCAGTAGTCATATATGGATGTGAGATTTGGACAATAGAGAGAGCTGAGTGCCAAAGAATTGATGCTTTTAAACTGTTGTTTTGAAGAAGACTCTTGAGAGTCTCTTGGACTGAAAGGAGATCAAACCAGTCCATCCTGAAGGAAATCAGCCCTGAACATTCACCGGAAGGGCTGATGCTGAAACTGAAACTCCAATACTTTGGCCACCTGATGTGAAGAAC